GTTGTCGGCTGTTGTCGCCGCTGGTCGGCTGCGGCGCTGTCTTAGTGCGTAAATTGCAGTAGATCTCGCTCCGTCAGAGGGTCTGGTGGTAGTAAACATCGTTCGACCATATGCAGGTACGGCATCGTCCCAATTAGAAAGCTCTGCGACATAGATTCCAAGGCGCAAATGATGTGGTGACAGTGACAAACAAGTCTCTTTGGTCTTCACTTTTACAGACGGTTATGACGTCTTTTGCATGTAATACTCATGACGACGCCCAGGTTCACGAACACGACCTGCTTTCGTCTGCGCGATGAAAAAGAGCTTTAGGGGTTTAACGTCGGCAGAGCGATGGGGTTTTACTTCGGCTAGTTGTGGCTGTACACACATGTCTGCACAATACCTCGTACATCCGCCGTGCACATTACTGTACTCTCCCACACCTCTCTCCCACCCCTCTGTTGTGTAATTCTGATTTAATTCCTGACAAGTCCATGTTGTAGAAGCTATTGAGACTCTGACCGCTTTGTGCTTTAGAAACTTAAGACTCGTAAAGACTCATATGTGGGGTTATATCCGGTTCTTTAATTTGTTTTGCGACCGGCACTGCAGGTGCGCTGAGTCCGAGACTCTCACCCAGCCGGAAAAAGGAAAGGACCTCGCCAAAAAGAGTTTTCAGTAGAGAAAGGTCTTGGGCGGACTGAACCAGGCTGAATGGAACACATAGGCCTAGGCTCAATGGGGATCAGAAGCTTCAAGAAGACTAATTACAAACTTGGGGAGCGAAGGTGCCCGCATTTCTTGGAGTTTTCGTTTGAACTGTGAATCCTTCTTGGTCGCCCCATTGGGCAGAAATCTGCCGATCCTTTTCGGACCCAGTCGTGCCTTTTTCAGAGATGTTGAACGATGGATGTGGGGCGATGTGCTGAGGTGTTGAAGAGACAGAGAGGAAGATCGGACATGAGGGACATGTGGTTGACATGCAGCTCACCATGGTTTATTGTTTATATTGTTTATTTGATATTTTTTCCATAAACTTTGGTCATGCTCCTTCCTTCGCTGTTTCTGGTTAGACTTGCAGCTCACCTCAGACCTGCTCGTTCCGTCGGGCTCAAGAACGCCAGAGGGAGCGCCTCACCGGGAACGAGGAACTTCGACTCTCTGAGATGGCTCCATCCACACAGATCGCTGTGGCCGCTGCAGCCTTGGCAGGTGGGAGCAGTTCGGAAGCCGGCGAAGCGGCGAAGTTCCGAGGAACACGATGGGAGCAAGTCATAAGCAGGTATAGGTGGCGAGAGATTTTAGCTTCACACTAGGGAGATCACTTCTATCTTATTTGAAGTCTTCTTTCTTTAGAACCCTCCGGATCATCTGTGGAATTGCAGAACCGAGTTGGCTAAGACAGTAATTTATCACTATCTATACTACTACCTTGGGCAGAATGACAAGTAAAGCAAGAAGCAAACATTAATCCCACATAATCCCTTGACCTCCTGACTTTTTATATCTTTCAACTAAAAATGTATCATACACTGCGACTATTCCATATTCAAAAGGCATTAACGAAATCCATTTAAATATATACCTCTCTTTTTGTGGACCTCTTATCACATCATAATTATTCTTTAGCAAAATAACACATGGATGTTGTAATCCAAGAAATACCAACAAATTCAATCAATATAGTGTTTGTCTTTGCATTTCTATCCCACATTTTAGAGGAAATCATCACCATTATTACTGATCCTGCATTTAATGGTAAGTTGCTAAGAAACCAATAGCAGGATAAATGACAATGACAAGGTGAACCAACAATCACAAGGTGATATAAGATAGAGAGAGGATTAATTATGGGATTGTTGGTTCATTAATCTTTTTTCTCTCTTTCTCCTCTCTTCTTCGAGGAGATGTAGATGCCATGAGACTAGTACAAAGTCAACAACGCACTCTCGATACTTAGAATGGCAAGTCCAGATGTGTACACATGCGAGACTTTGGCAATTGAGCTGACTTGGACAGCAGTGGAAAGGGACAAGTACGCATACTATGGCATGCTTTTCTGCAGCCTCAACCCACTTTGTACTGGAGCCTTATTTCTTTTCTCTTCCTATAACAAATATATTAGATATGTATTTATATATATATGCATACTGTATATATATATATATGGTACCCCCCATGTGGAAAGTGTTCAAAACAACCATTTGGGGAAAGGTCCCAAAATATCACTAAAGCACTGTAGTTTACATTAAGCAACACACTTTGGGTCGGTATTGGAGGGGGGTATTATATATATATATTTATGGTTCAGAACGTGCAGAATTCACTGTAAATACTACTGAAAAGTGCAAAAAGGTAGTTCTTGCTGGGGGCAGCATGCATAGATATATACTGTACATATATAGTATATAAGTATGTCGCGTAACGCGTACACATGCTGGGTAGGGAAAGCTCTGATACATCTGTGATTTGCCTGTTCACACCGCATGAGGCTGTGCCTTCGTTCTGCCCCAGACTGGCACTCAGAGTGCCCCAGCCCTTCGACGCAGCGCGCAAACACAGGCGCGTGGGGAGGCTGAAGGGGAAGAGAGAGCACCAGCAGAAGACGAATGCGGTTGCCAGATATGTGAGTTGATGAGTTTGAGTCTGCAGTCTGCATGTGCATTTCCTTTTGAGTCAAAAAAGGCAATGACTCTGAGCCTGTCGAAAGTTCTGAAGTCTCTGAAGGCCTTGGAGGGTCCTATCCACTCTTTGTATATTCCATCAGTTCTGAGGCTAGCTCTGGACGCTTGCAGAGTGCCGCCCTGAGAGGAGAGATGAGCACAGCAGACGTGATCGGCGTAATTTGGGAAACAGGAAGCGATGGCCTCCAACCTAGAATATGGTATGATAGGAAGAAGCACGATCTCCCTCTATTTGCGGCACATCAAGCAAGCTGCCTTTTACCCTAGGGGTGTGCTTGAACCTTCCGCAAGAAGGCTTTCAGCAGACAAGAACAGTAGGATCTGTTGACGAACAAGATAAACTTATAATTTTTTTTTGTAATTTTTCTACGACTTGTGATGAATTGGAGTCCCAAGGACACGGAAACAGTTTTCCTTCGGATTTTGCCGCCGCTGCCGCCCCTTTCGTATCCTTTCAAAACTGCCGGTTTTGAAGCGCAAGAAACGTCCCTCAGGTTCGTTGGCTGCCAGCACCGCGGTGGGAGTCCTGGCCGCTGCAGTGGTGCGGGCACGGCAAACGAAGCAGAGCTCCACCGGGTTGAAGGCCTTCGAGAACGAGCTAGGTAGGGTTGGGCCGCGGGGCAGAAGTGGAGGGCGGTGGGATGAGCCCATGAGGATTGACCAGAGAGTCCAATCTTTGGCAGTTGGCGTCATGTGCGAGGCGGCCTCACTTGTAGCCTTACGTGTCAGGTCCTCCACCACCAGAGCAGGGTTTCTGAACAGATGACCAACATTAACCAACGGCTCCTCTGAAAACCAGGAATGATCCATGTCCATCAACCATGTCGGTTTGGCTCCCGGAACCGAAAGCGGATTTCATCTTCAAAGCCTCTTTCAATTAACATGTGGTTACCTCTATGATTCAAAACATGGGGAGGAGTCTCGTGAAAGGGCACTGCAAATTCCTTAGGCACAGCTCAATGATAAACCTTAAGTTTGAAGAGCTGTGGGCTATTGTTTAGAGACCTTCAAGTCGCCTGGATCAGAATATTTTGATGAGAAATGCAGCAGATCTTGTCCAATTGAGGGTACTATTGATCCCCACCTCCGTTCGGTCCGGTCAGTATCATCAACGTCTTGACATGTGTCTTTGCCAACATCTCGAAGTGTCAACGGAAGTGCAGTCAGTGGCACCTCTTTTCTTGAAACTTTGATAGCCCCCATCGTCTTGCCAGTGAGACTCCACAGTCAGTGGACTCTGTGAACGCCGGAAAGAACGCCGGAACGAGCGGCGACCGCAGGAGTCCAGGCTCCCTTGGGCTTTTGGGATCCTGCTGGCCTTTCCTCAGATGGCGATGCGCGGGAGTGATGTGCTTGATTTTTTGGGAATAGTGCTACTTTTGGGCGGCTCCAGGGACTGCAGGGAGTGAGACAGTATGGGTTTACAGAAAAGAGGGTTTGCACATGTCGCACTGGGCCTGTGGGATGTTGATCAAATTCTCGCGTGACGAACGATTGAAACCTTGGTTGTCATATTAAGTAGGTCTTTCCATGACCATTTTTTTGGTGTTCAGAAGTGCCACATATCATTGTTAGCTTCTCTGAACTTTTTGGAAGGTCCTTTGAAGATCTGCAAGAAGAGTATTGCTCAGGGGGGGCTGAAATCAACTAATGAGAGAGTAGATGAAAAAGAAGTGGTTGGGGCGTTCTCTCGTTTCGAAAACTATCGCACTTGAATTCAGATCAGACATTTCATATCCTGACAGATCAACTACTAGGAACCTGCCCTTTCGATTGCAACAGACCGATCCTATGAAGCACAACAAACGGAGTTCTGAAGCTTGAATGTTTTGCCTTTTTCAGTCTTCCAAGACCAGAGTGCGGTCTTGCTCTTCTAGAAAAACAGCTACCCGGCATCCTCCTGTAGGCGTAACGTGCTCACGCTAGGAGTTCTACCGCCGCCGTGTCGTAGAGATCAAGCATGGACGTGTCTCCATGTTGGCCTGTGTCTCGTTGAGAAATTGAGTGCTGCTGCTTGTCCTGGCGATCAGTGCTGTGACTGTCCTTGGTGATGTTCATAGATGTTTTTCCATGGGTTTTGGGTTGTCCATCAAAAAGGGGGGGCAGATTGTAACGGTCCCCTTCAACACCTGGTGTTCATTCACTTGTTGCGCTTTTGGTGGGATTTCGACGGCAGATGTGTAAAGACCGGGACAGGGACGGTGGTTCTATGCCTGTCGAGAAATCGAGCTCCTGGAACCGAGGCACCGGATACATCGTGCAGGAGTTCTTCCGCTTCCCAGGCCTGGAGAGGGAACTGCTCCTTCCGGAGTGAGGGGAACATGGGCGTTCTGACCTTCTCATTTTGACCTTCTTGATCCTTTCAAGATTCCTGCAATCCCTCTGCGGGTTGGTGGCTCCTCGCTTCGCCTCTAAAGGCCGTACATTACTGAACAATGATATCGTTTTTTATCGTTTTTGCTTTGCCTTGCCTCAGCTCATCCACTATCACCGCACTTCACATTCATCTCGTATCAACCTTCTCTCGCTTTGTCCTGCACCTTCATCGCATTCTAATCTCAACTTTAAGGTGCCATTTCCGGTCGTTGGATCACGTTTGCACTCGTTGTGATCACAGTGCAACTAGGTGAGACGTGCACAGCACACCTTTGCCATTTTCACTATTAGACTCTAGTCCCTAGCCGCTCTGCAGTGTAATTATTTGATCTATTGATTTTCAGACCCATCATCTAAAGCTTCGTCCAAAGCAAAGCTCGAATCTGGTGACTTGAACCTTTTTTCTGGACAATAGGTCCTTTTTGGGGGGATGTTGCTGATTGCTTGGAGACCAGAGTCTTGTGCTGTCATGCTGATATGATGCCCCAATGTTCACAACCACCTTATACTGCCTTGTGGTGAGGCCAGAGTCTTGCGCTGTCATGTTCTCCCAAATGCACTGACTTCAGTGTTCACAGCCACATCATATAGACATTTCCCTTTCACCCCATGGACCTTGCTTGGGTACTACTCGATGATGTTTCTCTGTGTGGTGGTGGATAACGTATGTGTCAATGGTTTATCATGGTTGATGATACTAGTGACTTCAATACCATCATGCTTGTTTTTGATTTACAGGGGGGAGTCCGCCTAAACCGGGGGAAGGCGGACTACCTGGGACGGACGCGCGCCGGCTTTGTTCTAGCTTAAGCACTTAAGCATGTCATGAACACATAGCTATGCGTGAAGTTTGAACATATATAGTGACGGCCCGAAACTTAGAATGACTTTTTTGTCACTTCGGATGAAAAAACTCTCCTCAGAGTCGTTTTTGGTGCATTTTGGCTATAAAACATCGCTCCTGTGCAGTGCCTGTGCAGGACAAATAAACATAGAATGCTCAAAAAGTGGCGCGTTCTAAGTTTAAGGGGTGTTCTGAAAAATATAAAAAACCACCAGTTTTGTAGAATTGGTCAAACAAGTTAGAAGGGGTGCAAATTTCCACAAATTTTGGCACGCAGCGGTGTTCAAGGGCAAAAAAGCTGCGACATTTTTTTCGTGCGCAGGTGCCTTTTTTCAACCAGAGTAGGCAAACTTAGAACCCCCGATCAGTGGCTAGACTTGAAGAATATTAATATTAGCACTGCAAAGTGACCTTGGTTGCACTGCAAAGTGCTCATATCTTGGTTGAATTCATGTTTGGGCCCATCTATAAAAAATACAACTAGACACTTACATTTGTTCCTCCTGATGCAGCCTGGTGGGTCTGGCCTCCGGCCTAACCATGAGGTTCAGACAAAGGTCAACCCAGGTCTGGATTCCGGCCTGTGGTTCATGAACAAAAGATGGCGGAGGGACTATATACCAGAGTTTGGTGTCCGGCTCTGGTAGCCC